ATGAAAGCTTCAAATGCTGCCAACCTTTCTGGAATCCATGCAGTAAGATTCAGTGTGAAGGATTCTTCTTGACTAATCTGACTGGCTGTATTCATGTCATGTAAACATAGTTAGACGTTCTTCTAGATAAAGAGATTGAATACATAGATTTCCCCCTATGCACTCATATACTTGATGGACATATTATTAACTCTGCATTCACTATCAAATTGAGGCTGATATATATCATAATCATGGTTTGAATGGCCTACCCAGGAATTCAGGAGGCCCGACACAAATTAGCCCTGTGAGTCCTGTACCTCACCACCTCCCTATTTTACCCCATTCTTTAGCCATTCGTTTTTCTTATACAACCAGCACTTCATCTCTTCATCCTTACTTATTAGGTCATCTGTCTCCAAATCTGTATGTTCCTTTCCATTGAACTCTCTGCTATGACCCTTTCTACCTTGAGTTTTGTGTGCATAGCTGTGCTCACTCTCAGCTTTGAGCTCCTGAAGGGCAGGAGTCAAGAGGTCATTTCTTGCAGATGACACAGAATCAGGCAGATTGCCTGGAACAAAGTAAATATTCACCTGTTCATGGAATAAATGAACAAATGAATGCTTGAACAAATTCATCTTTGGCTATTAGTTGGCAAAGAGTAATTGAAATTTGAGAAGAGAAAAAAGGGAAAGTCAGTACTAGAATTAAAATGATGCAAGATTAGTTAAGCCGAGTTAAAAGGGTCAATAAATGTTTTGTGGAACAGTTTATCCTATCAAAGGAATCCAAGATACTGTTGACCAAAATAAAGGTTTAGGTTGTAACAAAGAATAAAACGCATTTATATGAGCAAAGGATTGCAATCCGGGAGGCACCAATTCAGGTAGTGAGTTAAATTGTGCTCTAGAGAGCACAAAGCAAGGAAGTGTTTATAGAAGCAAAAACAGCAGGTGCAGCTCATTTAGGTCCCCCATGCAAATGAAGGATGTGGCTAGGTTATCAGGGATTGGTTAGGCCCAATATGTAAATGAAGGATGCAAAATCAGTGATTTTGGTTTACAGTTTGGTTTTAAGACGCACTTTATAGAACACTTACGCCTTCAGTTTTCCTCTTGTATTTTTTTCATCGTTTTATTGTGTACCACTCAGAATAGCATAGAGACAGAATGTTAGTACAATTATCCAAGAGAGTTATGTTACTGAGGAGAAGGGGGGGTTTCTCCTTTTTCCCCCCTAACTGGATTATGCTCTTTTAATTACATTTTAATTAAAATTTGAGATTTATACCCCTTCATTTGTCAGCTTCTTAAATTAGACAGTATTACTGACATCCCAGAGCCTGTAAATAACACTGAAAATTAAAGCCCAGGAAATTTAAATTTAATGTTTTGGTTTGGCAAAGATTTTGCTCACTCTCTTTTTATTTTATTTGCATGCAGTTTCTTACTTTGCTTTCTCTAAACATTTAATTAGAAATTGAAATACCTATTTGATTTATTGGAGGTGAAGGTAAGATATATAAGCTAGTTTTTTAAATTCCAGAATTTTCTTATTCTATTTAATGTAAATATCAGCAAGTTAGTGATTGAGTTATCTTAGAAGAAGAGCAACTTGCACAATTTCCTATGACTCTTGTGAGTTTTGTTCCTTTTGAAACACAGAAAGTTTTCACACTGAAAGTTTTCAGATGCCAATTTGGAAACTTCTCTGGGGTTTTAATATCCGGTGGCCCGCAGGGTTAACTTACTGGAAATGTCATCTGCAGTGATAATTATAATGTAGCATTTTGTGTTGTCACAACTGAAATATTTTATGTGAGACATAGCAAAAAAAAAAAAGAGAGAGAGATAAAAGTTAAAAACAAATGGGTAGAATCTACAACATAAGAAAACTAAAAAAATTGCAACACTAAGAAATTCAGCTACAAAATTATAAAAATATATTTTTCAATGGAAATTAGAAAGTAACATCCTTCATTTACCTCCAATTTGAATTTTAAGATATTTGCACGTCAAAATCTATTGCTTATTTTTAAAAAAGGAAAGAAAAGGTTGGGTTCTTTTTCTTCATTGAGACTTTGATTTAACAGTACATAGTCAGGCCTGGGGATATATGTTTTCAGAGCTAATTAGTGGCAGTACTGAGAAACTGCTTTATGACATCATATGAATAACTTTCCAACTAAATCACTTCATTACTTTTTCCAAGTTCCCCTGCGCACTACCCAGTTATAAATAAGTGGCTGTATTTAGCACATATAAAGGTATGCTTTAATTTTGGAGATTTTGACACTGTTCATAACAGAAATACAGGTAAGAAACTTCAAGATTCCAGTGGAATCTCCCATAAGGATCTTCTGTTTTTTTGTAAAAGAAAGACAAAAAATTTAATTTACCACTGGCATCATCTTAAAATTACAGGATCAGTTCTTTCTGAGATAGTTCTCTTTGTACACTTTGCTACAAAGTGTTAGGTTAGGTCAAAGGCAGTTAGTCCTTTAGGGATATTGGAGGATCCTTTCAGCACAACAATTGAAATATTTTAAAATCTCATTTAAAAATATATATGTATGATCATGTGATGTTTATCCTTTATTTTGTTAATGTGCTGTATCACAGTGATCAATTTGCATATGTTGAGCCATTCTTACACCCCTGGAATGAACCCCACTTGATCATGTTGTATTATCTTTTCAATGTATTATATTCTATTTGCTAGTATTTTGTTTAGGATTTTTGCATCTATATTCATCAGAGGTATTGGTCTATAATTTTGTTTCTTTGTGTTGTTCTTGCCAGGTTTTAGTATCAGGGTAATGTTGGCCTCAATAAATGAAGTAAAAGCATTTGACAAGGTACAACATCCATTTATGGTGAAAGCACTCAATAAAATGGGTATAGAAGGAAAGTGCCTCAATATAATAAAGGCCATATATGATAAACCCTCAGCCAGTATCATCCTCAGTGATAAAAAACTGAACCGCTAAGGTCAGGAACAGAACAAAGGTGCCCACTCTCACCACTGTTCTTCACCATAGTACTGGAGGTTCGAGCCAGAGCAGTCAGACAGGGAAAGAAAGAAACAGCATCCAAACTGAGAATGAGGGAGTAAAATTGTCACTTTTTGCAAATGACTCAATTCTTTATATCTCCATCAGAAAAGAAAACCATGAGAAACAATAAATGAATACAGTAAAGTTGCAGGGTATAAGATCAATGTACAAAAAATTATTGCTTTCCTAAATACTAACAATGAAATTTAAGAAAAAGAAATGGAAAAAAATTCCATTTGTAGTTGAAACAAAAAGAATAAAATACTTAGGAATAAGCTTCACAAAGGATGTGAGGGACCTACTCACCGAAAACTGCAAGACATTGCTGAAAGAAATTGGAGAAGACACAAAGAAATGGAAAGTATTCTGTGCTCGTGGATCAGAAGACGCAGCCTAGTTAGAATGACCATACTGCCCAAAGCAATGTACAGAATCAGTGCAAAAGAAACACCGACAAAAAGGAACCCTCGGAATGGGAGATGACGTTTGCAAACAGCCCGCACAAAGGGCGAATCTCCAGAACGTGTAAAGAACTCATAAAAACCAACACCAAACAAACCATCCAATTTAAAAACTGGACGGAGGACCTGAACAGACACCTCTCCCAAGAAGATGTACAGACGGCCGACAGATACATGAAAAGATGTTCAACCTCACTAGCTATTCGGGGAACACACATCAAAACGACACTGAGATGCCACCTCACACCTGTTAGAGTGGCTGTTATCAGCAACTCAGGGAATAACGATAAAAATGGCTGTTTTTCAGAATGAAAATGTGTCTAAGTTTACAGATAGACGGTGACTGAGTAATCACGTGGCCCCAGGCAGTGTGGCTCCCAGATTGGTGCTCGTATCCATACAACATCTACTCAGTCACAGCCATACCTCAGTCTCAAGTACTAGGGCTAAGCCCCAGGGAAGAAGCTGTTGGATTAGAAATAGCATTCAGATTAGCAGGGCATTGCAGTGGTGGTTCATTAGATAGAGGTACTTACCCTTTGTTTCCAAGTCAAGGATGAAAATAACTCCAGGTACTTAAGTGAAATATTTCATATGCTCTTCCACAGTCACATGTCCACCTCACAACAGTGTAACGAATCTTTTTCAATGTACTCGATATGCTGATAGATCATATTTTACAAGAATAGGTATGGCTTGAAAAACACTGTTCTTTCTGTGCAGCAATCTAGCAACAGCCGTGATAATTTACAGATGAACAAGTTTCAGAGCCAGACAAAAGCAATGGAGGAGAAAAAGAACCGTTTATATGGATGTGAACCAAAATCACATGGTTGCATAATCACTTTCCCTATTGCTGAGAAGCCCTGGACTGTGTTCATTACCTCCAGGGAAGGAAATCTGGTGTAACTGGGAAAATCGGGGGACTTTTTTCTTTCCTTTTTTTTTCTTTTAAACTTTTTTCTGCCTTCTCTCCCATTATCATTTCTTATGTAGGATACTCTGAAAATGGACAATAAATATTTCAATTTACCACAACAATGTCTTATTTCTTACAGTGGGGTAAGATTAGAAGCATGAATATAAGGATTTTTTTTCCTACCCAAACTAAATTGCAGACAAAGGAATAAAACCCAAAATATCTTTTAAATGTTATATATAAATATCTATCCTTTAAATGTTATACCCTTTCATCCTCTAACTCTAGATGAAAATCCTGTTGTATAGGTTAGTAGACAGTGAAGCCTAAAGCCTTATCTATAAGAGAACAGAAACCACTCATCTATCTATAGTTCAAGAAGACTCAAGAGGTTGTACTGATAGAACTAGAAGAAGATCATGTGTATCCGTTAAGTATATTATCCAGTTAAAACTTGTTTTTGCAGGTGGAGAAGAGTTCACGATGAGAATTAAGAATATTTTAAGCTCTAATTTGAGGGGTTCATTGAGTCCAAATTGATGTCTACCAAATAATAAGTAATTATTGCCATTTTGTTTTCCAGTGTGTATGTACAGAGAGCCATCGCTACATGAAATTGGAGAGAAACAAGGGCGTTCGAGGAAAAGCTCTGGAACACCGACCATGAATGGAGGCAAAGTTGTGAATCAAGATTCAACATAGCGGAGAACTCTTCCCTTTGTTCCCTTTCTCATCCCTTCCTGTTCTCCCCTCCCCTTTACCCATTTCCTTCCAATAAATCTACCCAAGAAGAGAAAAATAAAATGGCAACACAGGACCTAGTGGCTCCCAAAATCTTCCTTTGTGTAGGACAGGAATATTGAACCAAAGCTTTCCTGTTGCAATGTGGTAGAAAATGCACATGCTCAACAATTAGCACACAAACAAGCAAGGCTCTACAAACATTAAAGTAAATTGTGCAGTTATTAATAGAGGGCTAATTGTAATAGAGACGTAACTGCAATAAAGATGAAATAAAGTTACTACCTTAAAGAAATGGGTTTTGTAGAACTGAACTTAGAAATTGATGTAATGCCCTAAATAGTTTAAGCTCTGGGTAATGCTGGGATGAGTGCTTTGTTTTGATTTTATATTTTCTTTGGGTGTCTGAAATTGCACATAATTATATCCTGTTTTCAGGATTCTTTTTAAAACCATGGTATTGAACATTTATTTATAGATTTTTCTAATGCCTCTAAGATACATAACAAGGAATCACTTAACATCAAGAAAATTCAAAAATTTATTTTTGAAGTTATTATTTAAGATTATTTTAGGCAAAGGATAGTCTTATGTTGAATCTAAAGGTATTAGCATATTTAATTCCTTAATAAAAAGAGTTTCAGATTCTCCTAAGAGAATGTCATATTTTTATTAAAGGTATTAACCTAGGATCTCATTTTTTAAGTAATTTAGATCATTTTTTTTCCTTTGGCTGAAATAACTCTTTGGAATTCTTTGTTATTACCATGCCTGGGCAGTGATGTACAATTTGCGTGCTCTTACTATTTGGTCTGATTGTTCACTTTGTGGACACCTTTGAGAATATAGGTGCATGTCTAGTTGTCTTAGAGAGTTTTTTTTTCATCTCTTGCAGCAGGAAAGAAGGAAGAGGGGTTTAACATAAGAAAATACATCCTGGAAAATTGGTCAAAGCAAATTGTATCTGCCTTTGTAAATTACCAGAGTTTTATGTATACAGCATTTTCCAAACTCTGCCATGATGTTGAGAGGCATGGCTGTGAAATTCCTAACTTCCTATTTTATGAATCAGGTGGCTTGTTTATTGCTCTATATCCTTGTTTATAAGTCTAGTAACAATAAGAGTGTCTCCTAGAACTCAGAAGGGTACTTGTAACAGATGGAATTTTTCAGGGGTTTAGAGAAACAATATGGAATTACCACCTATGGTTTCAACAGACAGGGTTGTGTGAGCAAGTTAACATAGTAAACACACACACACACACACACACCCCCCTCAGTGCAAGATTAGGCAAATGCATAGTTAGGGATACTGAAGTATTAGAAAAATATTAGGGAAGAAATGAACATTATTCAATTGCCTTGGAAAAAAATAGATCTATTTAGTCCTACAAATCAGGAATGGTGTAGAGACATCCAAATTAAAACAAAACAGAATGTTAAAAAAAAAAAAAAAATGTATGCAGATTTTTGGATATTATTAATGAGAAGACTTAGCATGTTACCTCTCCTCCTGTTCAGCATGTATTGTTCCAAATATGACTCCCTGAAATATATACACTTTGCAGAAGCTCTAGGTCCTCACTTCAATGACCTTGCCATTGGTTGCTGTATTCTTTCAAGGTCACTATAGTTTCTCTCACTCTACACAATCATTATTCTGCAATAGTGGTTCGTGTACTTCACCAAGTATTCTATTAATGTTATCAGGAGATTAGCAGAAAACAAAATGGAAGAATTTGCCTAATCAGTTGCAAAGAAGAAAAGTTATGTATCTAGGCAAGGATTTTGAACACAAACTTGCAAGAAATATTTGTTTAACCAAAATATTTGGAAAGTAACAAATAAAGACATTTAAATAAATAAAGAATGTTGCTCTTCTAGGAAAAGAATGCCCTTGTTTAAAAAAAAACCTGGTTGTATTTCTCCTTGTCACTCTTGATTCAACTTGATTATAAATGCTCCCTCCCGTCACTTTCAGGACCAAACAAATCCCAAGCACAAAGCCTTATTTTCTTTAAGGAAATAAAAAAGAGGCTACTACAAAATGGGTCACAGGCTCACTTAGCATGAAATGACTTGAGCTTTTGTGGGGATACATACACACGCATGTATACACTCACCACAACCCCATCAGGAACACCCTGACAGCTTCTCAAAGGATTGTCAATTACACTGACGATTTCATGACACAATATATTTAATCCAGTTAAATATTATGAAAATACGATAGAGATATGAATCTCCAACAAAATTCTTCCCTCTTGTTTCAGTGGCTGTTCATTTGTCATCTAGTGTCATATTTGTCTCCTTCCTGACAGCAGTTAAGAAGCGGAGTTCTAACTACCCAATTTGTATATTTTTCCCTCCGTATCATGTAAGTGGATGTTCACCACAGTGAACTGTTTGGATATTAGCTTTGCCTTGGTTACAACCGAGTTCAGTCAGTAAGTCAGAAACCTCATGTTCCTCTTACACGTGACCCTGACAGAAACTGGTGTAGAGCACAGGGCAACGTTTGCTGACCTGCTGCCTCCTTTGTAAGCACATGAAACCTGTCATAGGAAATCTCAGTATTCACTGTCTAGGTTTTTAAAAAATTAGCAAAAAAATAAATAAAAAATTAGCAAATGTAAACATAATTTACTGGTTTCCTCCAAAAATATGAGCCAGTTTGCATAGTTCACTTTTAAGGTTTATTCCAAGTAAAAGAATTCTTTACTTTGATATTCATTATTCTGATTTCTGGGTCTTAATTCATCCATCACTTATTTTCCTTTAAGTGATGTAAGCTGTTTTGAAAAAAATTAATCCATTGGGGTATTCCAGAAGTATGACTTCTAGCAAAGCTTTCTAATTGGCTATGTACATATAAGTTAAGACATGTTTATTCCCAGCATCCTTATTGTAACATGTTTCAAAATCACTGGGCTTAAGAATGAGAACAAAGCTCCTGAGACTCTCACAGAATAGTTTTCTGGTCAACATCCCTGACTTGACTGTTAAGCTAGAAGTTTGAGGTTTAGAAACAAAGTGGTGCTTTAGTCCCATTTGCTAATTCAGAGACTTTTGTGCCCCAGCAAACTGGAGGACAGCAAGCGAACCTATTCTCAATCACAGTAATAGTTTGGGTTTTGAATTTTGCATATGAATTTTATAGCACATTTTTAGCCAGGATGAACCTAGCCCAATAAAGAGACATCAGTTTGATGCACATTACAATGCTTTTTGGACCTCCTTATAATCCACATAGATTTTTAGAAGAATTCGATTGAAGAAAATTACAACGCTGTAGATAGGCATTATATATAGCTTGGTGGTCCTGTGGTTCCACTAGCCAGAGATGAGAGTATTAAGACAAAGATCAAAGGATCAAGAATGGTTCAATGTGTATTGAAAAGTTTCTTGGACCACTGATTCCTTGGCAAAGAGGCACAACTACATCAACAGCAATTTTTTTAAAACACAGACCCAGAAACAGCCATTCTACTGTTCCACTGTCATGGCTTAATGTACCAGGCCTTGCTCTGAGAAGGGTTTCCATGAAGTTGCTTCATTTCATCTGCACAAGGTGAAACATTCACACATAAAAATGCCCCACTCATTTTAGTATCATAAAAAGCTGAGATGATTTCTCTGTCATAAATTGTAAATAGCATTTTTTAAAATCAGAATCACATTTAAAACAGTGGATTGTTCTACAAATATATATGTGTATATATACATATGCTTCTGAAATAAGGATATATTATATAGAGTTTTTATTTGATTTGTGGTATTTAGTCATAGGTAATCAAAAATAAAGAGATTTGAATGTAAAACTTTATATATAAATGTATATTTCTAATGATAGTAAAAATTGCCACTTTATAATAAAAGAAGAAACAGGTGGGCACAATCATCAAAGCACATACTCCTTCAGAACTTCATGGTTCTGAATCCCCTCTCTGATGCAGAGGCAACTATTTTTTTATTTCTAAAAAGTTATCTTAAAAACTTCCTGAAAGAGATTCCATGATAAGTCATACCAAATTGAAAATTTATGGTTGAGGGCAGGAAAAAGATGCTAAATGCTGATTGTTATTTTTTCAGGATTTTTCCTGGAGCCCAAGTTAAATATTCAATATTTAAAATCTAAGTTAAGTGAAAATTGGTAATGTTCAGAGAAGATATATTGAGTGTCAGTAACAAACAGAAGCAAAAATATACTTAATGTTATAATAATAGCATAAAATAATGTCATAAAATTGCATCACTAGATGTTTCATTAGTTGGAAGGAATGAGTTGAAGCTTCTCTGTCCTTGCTCCAAGCAACCTAGAAAGACAGTGGCGTTCATTTCACTTATAGTTGTTCAAAAGTCCAAAATATACTCCCATGAGTGGATTTGGTATTAGCTCCATTACAAGGTTAAATGTTGCAATCTTAAGAAATTAATGACACTGAAATGTTTAATAAACATGTTGTATGAGAAACTGAACAAATTCATGTTTTGTTTTTGCATTAAAGCACAGATTATTCAAATCATTGCTTTTTGAGATCAGATTTGTAAACTGTTTATACATCACAGCCTTCCTGAAGTAAAAAGCAGTTATAATCTTGAGATGCTCATGCATGTACACAAAATACTTGCACTTTTTTTTTACATTAAACTTCTTTGGGAAGTGTCTCTCCTTTTTTATTTTTTTAAATGTGTTTATCCTATAATGTGTCACTGAAAAAGTGCTGTGCCATTTAAAAAAAAAAAAAAGGGTTTATAGTGGGAGGTAACTCAAAAAATTTAAACACTGCAGTCAAAAGTAAAAATTACTTTCTAAATATGAAGCTACTCTGATAAACCTAACATATCTCTTTTTTAAGATTAAGAACGAGAGCACATTCATTTATTCATAATTTACTACATAGTGGCTCAGTTGAGTTTAGGGATCACAACTAAATTATAGTCACACAAAAACCCGAGAAAGGCAGAAATATAAATAAATAACGTAATACTCGGAAGTATGTGTTACAATAGGTATGTTTCTAAGATTTTGTATACAACTGATGATGCAACAAGGAAACCTAGAGGGAAGACAAGGATTGAAAAAGGGTTGGATTTTACTGAGTAGTAAAAGACTATAAGGGGCCCCTGAAGTAGAGGAAATAGGTTGAAGAAAACTTAGGAAGACATGAAAAACATGACTTGCTTAAGAAATATGAATGAAACTAGGAAAGAATGTGCAGAGTAGGAGGTGGGGAAAAAACTGAGTTGAGATTAATAAAAAGGAAAAGTTATTCAAAGTTTTGTCAATGCACTCGATATGTTTGAGCATCGCTCTCTGTTAGGACACTTCTGGTTCCATCAAAACAGACTCCCCGAACCAAACAGCCTTCATCTAGGGGTCCACAGCGTTATCACTGAAACTTAATTTGTCCACTGTTCTCTCAGCTCTGCTACTTCCATGTGTAATAACTTCTCTCTTGGGGCCAGGAATTCTTTTATAGGTGACAGACACCACAGATTTATAGCATCTATTTTCTTATATTATTCCCCAGAAAACATCTCTTCACTTCTCCCAGTTTGGGCCATCTGTCCATAACTGAATGAACCACCATGGCCAGGAACTTGAGATATGTTGACTAGTTTAAGTCACCCAGGGCCTTTTCCTAGACTTGTAGGTGAGATGCACTTTTCCAAAGATACAGGCCTGCATAGATGAGTGGTGAATATTTGAACGGAATTCAGAGTGATTTATTAAGAGGAAATGGAATGCTGAGTAGCAAAACAAAAAAAATACCAAAACACACCTCTATTGTCTGTTAATGAATACAGTTCCTATCACAGCTCATTGGATAGTCTAAAAACTGGCAGAGAACTGCAAATGTTGATGAATGAAAGCCATTTTCATAAACCAGGGTGTACTGACAAAGGCATTGAAGATTCAATTCCTCTTGTATTATTAAATGCCTGCTATGCCAAAGGCACTGTATGGGTCACTGAGGAAGGTAGAAACAGCTGCAGTTTTAAACAAAAGTGGCCCATTGGGCAATAACTCAATATCTGGTATGTCTAATGCATTTAGATGACCATCACAAAGAAGACTAAAAAATGCATTTTGGCTATTCTAAATCAGAAGTTCTTATATCTACTTTTTCATAACCATAAAAACACTGCTCACATTAGGTAATTACAAAATGTTTCTTAAAACCCAAGCAATCTATTCCAGGTCTAAAATTCAGGGCTATTTGGGACCTCAAAAACCTGGGACAGCAATACATGCCATTACTGAATCTTCTCTACAGATTATAGCATTTGCTTAAACAATTTGAGTGATTTTAAATATACTAATCTCCCAAAGCAGCCTATTGCATTCATGAGCAATACTGGTTTTATAATGTCCTTACTCATGAAGTAACTTGTTCTGTAGCTTCTAACCACTGTTTGAAAGTTCATCCCTAGAGCTAGTCAATGTCACTGTAATTCTCCACCGACAAGAAGGTCTACAGGTGTCTGAAGATCACTGTCCTTTCGCACTCTTCTCTTCATGTGAAGTGCTCTCTGCTCATGTGAAATAGTTTCAGATCTTTAAAATATTTTGTTTCTTTACCATTCTGTTTATTTTACTCAAAACCAACTCTAATAACTTGGAGTGCACAAGAAAACATGATGTTTCTGATATAATCTAGCTGGTCCAAACCACTTCCTTATTCCTGATAGTATATATAGCAGGATTCTATAAAGTTGCATTCATCTTCTGACAACTTCATCTAAAAAAAATTAACCTTCAAGTTCATTTCTATTTTTTTACTTTTTCTTCTCTATGACTCAAACTAAGGCAAAGGGGTGTTAATAGACTGATAAGAATAATTCTAATCTGATTATGTCTGAGAAACGGACACATATTCAGAATTTTCCAGTTATACTACAAAATCCCCACTCATTGATTAATCACAAATCCTCTACTTAACTCTGTGTTAGCCTACCTAATTTTGTGTGACCCAATTAATCTGTTTTCAGGGATTAACCACTATGTATTTTCTTTTCTCACCTCACTTAGCTGGGGCAAGGTTTCAGAGGTGATCATTCTGATAGAAGGTCTTTGTCTTTTGAAAATATGTGCTCTTACAGGAGACAAATGGTTTTACTCTTTTAATTAAAGTCACTGTTGAATTAATCTAACAATCCCTTACACACAAAAATTAGACTTATCAGAATTATTGCTTAGTTTCTCAGTGACTCATTATTTTATTCTATAATTTAAAATTTGTTTCAATACAGGGTGGCGCAAAAGTAGGTTTACAGTTGTTTGTATGGAAAATAATACAATAATTAATAAATAATAATACAAGAATTAACTGTTTTGCCTACTCACAACTATAAACCTACTTTTGCCCTGCCCTGTAATTATTTCCTTATCTCTTCAAATTCCTATTCAAAGTTTTCTCTGAGTCAATTTGCAGTGTCCTGGTGCACATTCACAAAAGTTCGTAAACTGCCAACATTTCTGTGGCTTTGAGGCCCTTAAAATGCTTTTTCCTTGCTTTTGTCTAGGAGTGACAAGTGGGTGGGCATCCAACCCTTGAGTGACCTTCTTTAATAAAATTCCTTTGGTTTTCCATGGACCTCCTTTTTTTATTTTTGCAGAGGAGATTACTTTATTTGAAAGTAACATGCATTTGCTGAGCAAAAGCTTTCAGGATTATTTTCTTAGGAATTGAAAATGTTATCAGCATTGTCATGTTATTTTTCTAACCCTTTTTGACAAGTTGATCTAGAAAACAGTATTAATTACTTAATTACTGTGCCATGTCCCTCATATACATACTCATGTACGGTCATCTGCTCTTTAAGGACAGGGATACCTTCTGAGAAATGTGTCATTAGGTGATTCCGTCCTTAGGCGAGCATCATACAGTGCACTTACACAAACCTACACAGTATAGCCCACTGCTGTAAATGTATGTGCTATACTTCCTATGGCAACCCGGTAGGCTTCTTCACAACATCACCACACAAAATGCTGAGTAATTGTAGCCTACACTCTGGCAGTTGGCATTTCTTTTTGTAATGCAAGTGCCTGACTTAGCTTTGACTACAAAGATATCCACTTCAATGAGGCTATTTGGAAGCAGCCCTTTGCCAGCCACAAGGCAAGATAAAGAGGCAGGCCACTTGCCTCCACTGAGGCCCCTCTGTTTTGGAAACCTCAATTTCAATGACTGACCATTTGGGTTACTTGTTTGTTTTTCCTCACACTCTTGTTTAAATTCACCAATAAAGAGTTAGTCCCTGAGCCCAGCCAGGGGTTCGCCAGGGGCGATCGGGGTTCGATTCCCGGTCAGGGCACATGCCCGGGTTGCGGGCTCGATCAATGACTCTCTCATCATTGATGTTTATGTCTCTCTCTCTCCCCCTCTCTTCTCTCTGAAGTCAAGAAAGATATATTAAAAAAAAAAAAAAAAAAGAGTT